CATCTTGTCTGCAACTTTCATCACCACCTAATTTGGCAACTATTGTTGAAAATGGAGAGTTTTTATTTTATTTCTTTCTAGGATAACAAAATACAGGATCAGAAAAGCTTTCTTCAATATCAACACTCTAACTGTGGTGAATTATTGGCCCTTAACATGGTCACATTTTTATTTTCATAGCTTCACAATTTGGCTCACATGGCTTCTTCTGTCTCCAGTGTCTATCTTTTTCTACTTTGTGAACTCCTTCTCATCCTTCAGGACTGACATGTGGTAGACGTGGCCTGTGGCACCTGATCCTACACACTCCTCCTTGCTGAACTCCCAGTGTGTCTATCCAAGGTGGACTGCATGTAGTTGGCAGTTGTTAAGTTTTAACATCACCGTAGCAAGGGGTGCCTGGGTGGCTCAGTCAGGGAAGTGTCTGCCTTCAGCTCAGGTCATGACCCCGGGGCCCTTGGATTGAATCCCACATCATTCACACTATAAATAAATAAATAAAATCTTAAAAAAAAAAAATCAGGGTAGCTGAGTTAGCCAGCTGGACCAGAGGAGGACCCCTAATTAAAGCTAAGACAGTCAGAACCTAGTACAGGGATCTCAGAGTCTCTGAGAGACAAAGCTTTTTGCTGTGCTGACCTGAGCTGAAAGGTCATTTACAGTGGGGATGGAAGTTATGTCACCATGACCAGTCATAGGCATGGGCAAATTACAGTAGGGTAGAAATCATCAGCAAGCTAATGAAACCAGTCTGCAGAACGGTTTCCATACTGAACTTTTTTTTTTTTTTAATGAGCTGTGTCATTCCAACCCGTGTCTCTTTTTTACCTTCCCTGGTTTAAATGGTTTCTCTTCTTTGAAGTAAAAAGACCTTAAGAAGATGGTTGATATACCACTGTGTTCCTGAAGCTTTTTATGAGTACCCACAGGCTAACTTAATTACTTTTAAATCTATTTCAGGTATGAATATATCTAGTATATAAATTTCAGTTATTATATATAATATATAAAATACAGTATCCTATAATAAAATATATATATTTTTAAAAGATTTTATTTATTTATTTGACACAGAGACAGCAGGGGGAGTGGGAGAAGGAAGGGAAAGTAAGGGAAAATAAGCAGGGGGAGTGGGAGAGGGAGAAGCAGGCTTCTCACTGAGCAGGGAGCCCAGTGCAGGACTCGATAGCAGAACCCTGGGATCATGACCTGAGCCAAAGGCAGATGCTAAATACTAACCCAGGTGCTAACCTATAATATATAGGTTTTATTGTCTCATAGTAGAGACTTAAAATTAGAGTGCTTACCATGAGCTAGACATAATGTTAAATATTCTTAAAATGCATGCATTATCCTCACACCTACACTCTGAAGTTGGAATTCTCTCCGTATCATCAAGGAAGCGATAGATCTTCTTTGTCCAATACCATACAGCTGGAAACCAAGGAATCCCTGATTCTATCCAACTTCATTTGACTCCAAAAACTGTGTTTCTAACCACTGTCCTGAACCACTTCTCAGCCCGAATTGTTTGTTCTCTCCCTTGCTAAACTGTTAGCTCCTGGAGGCTAGAGAGAGTGCTGTGTATATATTTTAAAATGTCAGCATAGTGCCCACCAAGCAATGAAGACTTGATGCATGTTTTTTGAGATAAAATTCTCTATCATTACCTGTATTGTCATCTCATAGTTATGATATAATTGACTACTTCTAAGCAGTTGTCATTAGGACAAACATAAAGGCCCATGCGTACAAACATTTGCACAGTCAGGAAATGTTTAAATTATATACGCTTTCTGCAGTGTAGAGATAAATAATAAATTTATTTTATATGTTGGTACTATACTCAGATTAGTATTTTCAAAGTAATGAAAATTGTAATCCAGAACTCAGGGGAACACATTTTATAAGCCAAATGGTAACACTGTCCATTTCTCTTCAAAACTATTTTAAGGGGCACCTGGGTGGCTTAGTTGGTTAAGCATCTGTCTTTGGCTCTGGTCATGATCCTGGGTTCCTGGGATCGAACCCCCCCATGGTCTCGTTGCTCAGCAGGGAGTCTGCTTCTCCTCCCTCTGCCAGCCACTCTGACTGCTGTGCTCACTCTCTCTCAAATAAATGTTGAAAAAAAAAACTATTTAAAAAAAGTTGGTAGCATGATAAAGTTAGATAATATAGCTAGTTTAAAAATGAAGGAAAAGTTAATGATTTCACCCAGAGTTTTCATAAGTGGCCCTAACTGCTAATTGGATGATGCAATTAGAAATACTGAAACTTGGGGCCTCTGGCTGGCTCAGTCAGTGGAACACGTGACTTTTGATCTCAGGGTCGTGAGTTTGAGCTCCATGTTGGGTGCAGAAATAACTTAAATAAATATATAAATAAACCTTAAAATACTGAAACTAATAAAATTTGTCATTGCATAATTACATTACTAATCTCATGATTTAATTAGTATGATTTGATTGACCATGGGAAAATCCATAAAGGAGTTTGAGCTGAATTATGAATAATCCTAGTGAGGCTGCATATTTGTGGTTTTTCTATTAAACAATACATCCCCATTCTCACTCCTACCAATAAAGTTCAGGTTAAACAAAATGTGAAAATTAAACTCTTATAGTAAAACAAGAAAAGAAAAAGGATGGGGAAAAGACTTGCTTGGGATTTTATTTAATAATTATTTTAAATTCAAAGGAATTAGAGCAAGTCTACCTTTCACTGAATGCCAGAGATTACTGTGAAATTGTTAGGATAAGCCTGTATTTCCCTCTTCCTCCTTTGATACAACTTAGTCAGAGTTTAATCATGACTAGATCAGCGATAAGCAGACCTCCTGACATTTTGCCCAAGCCACCCTTTGTGAGTAGCTACAAAAGCATGCTTTATTTCAGATTTCACTTCAAAAATTAGTCATTAGTTTTTAAAAAGATTTTATTCATTTGAGAGAGAGATAGAGAGAGTACAAGTGGGGAGGAGAGGGAGAAGCAGGCTCTGCACTGAGCTCAATTCCAGGACCCTGAGATCATGACGTGAGCCGAAGACAGACACTGAACGAACTGAGCCACCCAGGCGCCCCCCAAACTAGTTATTATTTATCCTTCCAACTATACCAGCACAAGTACACAAAATTCCTTGCTTGTGGCATAATATGTGTTCAAGTAAAAACACTGGAAACAATTAAAATGTCTCCATGATGACTCCAAATAAATTATGGTATAGCCATCCCAAAGTCCTACACACTTAATGCAATCATTAAGGGAACGAGGCACCTCTCCATGTACATGTAGAATGGTGTGGAAGACACAAAAAGAGCAAGATGCAGGGACACGTGTAGAGTATGTTTCCCTTTGATAAAATAGCCTGTGAATGCATTCCAAGTTCATGTATTTTCCATTCAGATTGTTTGAAGGTGAAATCATGAAGACACTTAAGCACCACCATCGAAAAGGTACAAGATTCCTCAAATGATCCTCTTTTGAATTTGTATTGTATCTGCCTTACTAGGTAATGAAGTATCTACAGTTTTCTTGATACTCTTTGCACATTTATAAATGTGCAGAATTTCTTTTTGATGGAAATCCCCTTCCTAACTCCTCCCTTGATAGGAAGAAGTGTCCCTGCTTGGTTGGTTTCTCCTTCTCCCAGCCCCGTCACAAGATGGGGAGCAGCAGGAAAGGAACATTGCTGAGGTGGGCAGAGACGGAGGGTCTCTGACTGCAGTTGGCTCCTCGAGAGAGGAAGCGATCTCCTCACCAAGGTCCTTCAAATGATTGCTCCTTTTCCCTCTTAAAACAGACACCCTTCTTTCTTCTGGAAGAAAGGGTTTCCTGTTCCCTTACTCTATTGTGCTTTATTGGAGATGGCAGGCCTTCGATTTGGCAAGTCAGCAAACGAACACATGTAGAAAAAGAGAGTTTCTCCAGGGTGAGGAGGCTGAAACTTGCAGACAAAAGGCAAGAGAACAAGCGACATCCAAGCGACATCCTGCCAGACTCCTTGTCAGGGAAGAACCAACCAAACCTTGTGTCTCCTTGGCTGAGCCCCTTGAAATTGAACCACTTCCTGGAAGACAAAAACAGCAAACGCTCTCGGACATCTGTGTTATTGAAGGAAACCCTGTGGACAGTTGATCAGTCCTTGTCCTTTGGAGTGCCTTAAACCCAGTATTTTGTGATTCCAATACAGACTTTGAAAATATTAGGGAGTAAGTGGAAGTTGGGACTGCATGTGTCCCCCTTCCCTAGTCTCATATTTACCAATGCCTAAACTGGCCAATGAAAATACAAAGCCACTTTAGGTCTCATTTCTGGTTTTTTGTTTGTTTGTTTTTTGTTTTTTTTTAGCAATTTATCTCTACCCTACTTCTAATCAACAGGTTTAAGAAAAATGAAAAGGGAAATACTCACCTTACTTAGTAAGGGAAGGAAATAAAGGTATGAGAGAGGATTTGCAATTTTTATTTAATTATCTTAAAATCAAAGTAATTAGGACAAGTCTTCCTGGCATGAAATAGTAGTTGATCCTTCAAACTGAGTAATTTGGTACAAAATCTGCATGTATTTCTCAACTGTATTTATACACACTTACACACACACACACACACACCCTTTGTGCTAACCATCCAGTACTTTGCTCTGGTATTTTGTGGGAAATTTCTTTTATTGTTCAAGAGTTATTAGCCATTTGGGTAGGTATTAATTTATTTGAAGCTACTTTTGAAAGTAGTAATGTAAGATTCAATCTCATGATTGCACTTTGATTATGTGAGTTTGTCAGTGGAGAACATATTTCTTTAAAATTACTCTAGAATTGACCTACACTGGCTTACATTTAGACAGTATCTTCCTCTGATTTTCTTGAAACAGTCACCTTTCTGTCCCTTTAAAATACATACACACACAAACACACACCCCTCTAAGAGCACAATGCCAAAATTTATCTATACTTGTAAAATTTTGTGGTATTAAATGTTAAATTTTATTTCAAGGGCTAGATTAAATATAATCTAAGCACTGAGATAGAACATTTCAGAAAATAAGCTAGTATTTCCATGATCAAGTTTAGATACCTATCATTTGTCATTCCAAAAGCTCCTTGTGTTCTAGAGTCTAGAATTAAAGGGAAAAGGGTGTAAGCATTTAGGAAGTATAAGCTGAAATTATTTATTTCAATTCAATATAGAATATTAGAGTCAAGATAATAATCAATGTGTACAAAAATTTACATAACAAGAAAAACAATAGACAATGCAGCACCTTTAGAAAAATAATTAAGTTTTGTTGCATTTACAGGTAAGTGCCACACTGAGAATTTACAACACAGTAATTTACTGCAATCAATGACAGGGTTGTTCCATAAAGAAACAAAGCTCTTACACTCCAGATTTTCAGAAGGTATTATTGGAATGCTTAATCAGAACCACAGAATTTGTACATCCTTTAGGATTGAGCTGACAAAAGTCACACAAAGTTTCATAGCATCTATTATAGAAAAGGAGTCCACAGTGTTTGGATGGCTGGCTTAGTGTCTCTGACAGGTGTGGAGTCTGGAAGAGTTACTGGCTTGGTGGTGATCCTTCTGTATCCGGCAAGACAGACCCTCTCCACAGTAACAACGCTGGAATATCTCCAGCCCGTGGGAGCCTTTTCTCCTGTGCTTGGTGCACACTTGCCCTTCTTTTAGGACCGGTTTACAGATCTTGGACCAGAAGTGTCTAGCACAACACAGCCCCGTGGCACAGTCCGAAGAGCGGAGACAGACGGAACCTTCTTGTCCTGGAAAGGAGGAGACAGCAGGAAGAGTACACGGTTACTGCCCAGGCTGCATTATTTCATGAAGAAAATCCCAAAGACACTCCCGATGTGCTAACCAAGAATGCATGGTAAGGTCCTTTACCTTTGGTATGATACAGTTTTGAAGAAAGCGTCGTTCTTCGAGAATATCCATCCACGGTGCTGTGATCATTACCAGCACTTTCGAGAATGGTTTCTTCAATTTCCCCTCGATGGAAATGATTGGGATCAGAAGGCATACATATTCCTAAGGAAGCAGGAGATAGCAGGAACACATTACAGCCTGCCGGTAACCACCAACAGCCTTGACCGTGACAGTCTGCTATGCCTGCACCACCTTGAGATGCCTCACTGTGGTGACATTATTTTAAACACAAGCCAAACTGCCTCCCTAGTGTTAATGCAAAACTCCCCAGACAGACAGAAGCATCAATGCGTACACTGTGCAGTCACAGGCAACATCCCCAATATAGCTACTTAAAATACTTTCCTACCAACTGTGGCAGTGGCAGTGAGACTTCTGCCCATGTTAATACCACCCTTGGGGGAAGAATAAAACTAGTCACTTAAAAAATTGTTCTTAAAAATAACTTCTCTGCCCTCGGTGCTATATGGGTACTGGCAGACCAAGTTAAGCAAAGGCAACACCAGCTGGCTGGAAGATTACAATCTCACCCACCAGTTACTTCACTGTATAATTTCTATATTACAGAGACTGAGTTAGTTCTGCCCCGAGTATTACTGGGTCCTAAAGAGGGTCGCCACCCTTGAGCTTATTTCTGGAGATTTCTTTGGCTGCCTGTGCCTACCTCTTTGAGACATTAAATTTTAGTGGATCTGTGGTCGGGGGTGGAGAACTTATTTTAAGGTAGCAGGAGGTGGGGGCGGGGGGGGGGCTGGATTCAGAGGGCAGGCTGGGTATCAAGATCTCCCTTAAGGGGGGCCAGCACAGACAGATAAATCACTGTCTTCTGGCTGACCCCAGTTTTAACGGGGATCAGGAAAGGGAGGCCAGCATGGTAGAGCCATGGGAGACACTGTAAGAAAAACAGAGATGGCAGCTAAGACCAGTGCTGGTTTCCTTGGGCTCTCTGTACAGTTTCACCTTCCTCCCCATCTTTCTCCATTGATGTCACGTGTTCAGGGGAGGGTTCACTCTGCCGCAAGCCCTCCTGTTAAGCAGGCCAAGGGCACGGGGGGAAATAAGGCGCTCCACGACCTCCAAGATGAAATACTCGCAACGTTTCTGGGGAAACTTGCCGGCTGAGCACCCATTCGCAGGTGGCGCCACAGGGTTCCCAAAGCTGGGAGCGGTTTCCTCCCGTCCGCAGAAGGCCAAATGCGGGACGCTTGGGGTTAGGGAGCGACAGGACTCACCGTTTTTGCAGTAATTCCCGGGGCAGCACATAGCGTGGCGCATGCAGCGTTTTCGGCGCTTCCTGCAGGCGAGGCAGATTTGCGCGCCCGCGCCCCCTCCGCGGGTGGGGCTGGCGCAGTACTCCTCCGTGCTGCACTCCTCGTCCTCCGCGCATGGGTAGGGCTGCGGGGAGGGGCCGGGCAGAGGGTGAGGCACCTGCGCCTCCCGGTCCCCAGGCTCCCGCACGCGGACGCTCATCTCTGGCCCTCTGCGCACACCTCTCTGAAGCTGTTGTGCGCAAGGCACCCGGACGCAGACTTCCCGAATGAGTCCCGAACTGCGCACAGTTAATAAGTTCTCCGTGCTCCTCCCCACCTGAGACCCCCTTAGAGGTCACAGCGTCCCCGGCTCCCCGAGCCCGTGCTCACCTGGTAGTTGTCAATGGTCTGGTACTTGTTGCCGCCCTCGTACGGGATCCCTGGGGCCGCGCTGACTGCGGAGCCCGGGTGTCCCGCAGCGCCGCCCAGCGCCGGGGGCAGGTTCTTGATGGCGTTGGAATTGACGAGAACCGAGTTCAAGGTGGCGCTCACTCCGAGCTGGAGGTGACCGCAGAGGGCGGCCGCTACCAGCGCGGCCAAGACCCGGGCGGCTCCCACTGCGCCCAGGGCCGTCATCGCAGAAGCTGTCCGGGGAAGGCCCCGAGAGAAGGCTGGAATGTCCCTGTGCAAAGGGGTCTCTGGAAGCCGCGCCGGCACGGCTGCAGTCCCGGCTCCGAGCGCCTCCCGCGGTCCCCGAGTCTCCACCGCAGGCGCAGCTCTGCGCCGCCACCGCCGTGGCGGCTGCCTTTATACCACCGGCTCCGAGCATCCCGGCCCCTCGGGGGAGACAACAAAGCGGGGATGGGATTTCAAAGCGCTGGGAGGGGCTGGAGGGTGTGTGTGTACTCGGGGGTGGGGGGGTGCTTGGCCCTCCCCACCCGCCCTTCCTGGCGCGGCCGGTCCCCTGGCGAAGCTCCCTTCGGGGCGCGAGTGTCGCGGAGCGCGAGCGCGGACGGCGTCTACAGAGGCTCGCGGAGGGAGGAACCCGGCCACCCGCGCCCGCCCCCTGCATCGGGGATTGCGCTCCCGGGCTCGGAAGTACTTTTCAGAGCAGGGTTGTAATGTTCTGCAAAACCACTTTTCTTCTGTCTCCCTTATGCCACTACGTGCTCAGTTATTGTGCACCGTAAAGAGTTTTCGGGGTGAAATTCAGCCCAACTGGTAACTCAAAGGCTCTCTGGAGACGTCCCAGAGAGAGGGCCAGGTGGCGGGTGCAAGTTACTGATTAACCTTTCAGACCCACGGTTTGCAGATTTAGAGTGAGGTCCTCGGTTTACGTTGGGTCAGCTTCGCCCTCCCCTTTCTTTCCCCCACATCCCACACCCCTCTCCCGCCGCCACCGCGAGAAAAATGTGCAAAGAGAAGGAAATTTGCACATCAAACGAGGGTAAGAAGGAAGAAGAGCTAATTCTCTTTTGATGGGAAGTTTAGAGAGGGAGGCGAGAGACGGGCATTTGGAAATTAGATCAGGGGTGCAGGGGGAGGGAAGTGACTATCGATAATCAAACTGTTTAATGCCACTCTTTGAGTCCGAGCAGTTGTGCTCAGTAGATGAACTTGATTAGGCAGACGCGCGAGATCAAAGAGGCCAGAGGGAAACCGGTCAGAGTCCAAGGGCTGGGTCCGTGGTCCTTTGCCTGCTGGCCCGGCTCGGGGGTGGGTCAGCGCAGTGAGGGGAGCGAGGCTTAGGGGTCAGCGCCCGACTTTCCCCGGAGTTACTCCAGATCGCAAAGCTGCTCCCAGGTCAGAGCGTCTAGGGACTGGGAAGTAATACCCCGCCAGGGAGATAAGTCTAGCTGCAGGAAAAGAAAAACTGAAAGTGGGCCAGAACGTGAACGAGTTCGACGTCATCTAGATCCCTGTCGAAAAAGAAGACAGTCCCGCTGGTGTGGACGAATGCTGTCCGGCTTATACAGTGGAAATGATTTAACCAATAAAGGCCTCTGGGAAGCGTGGTGCCCTGGCACTGGGCTACCCTCTGGGCTGTTGCCCTTTGGGGGGTGGAGGTGCGGTGAGTGTAAATACCTAGGAGACTGTCCTAATTATAGTAATAATAAAATAAAGTACTGCCATTATTTGTATAACAGGTTGATGTTGTAAGTGTCAGGAAATGGACAACTGCTGTGCACATTTAGAAAAGGAAGAAATGATGGAATAATCACTGTTGAATAAGAAAGACTAGGATATATTAATTTTGCGCTCCCTCACCTCTATGGTACTTAATACTCTACACACAGACCTATACTCATGACCAAGACCACCACCAAGTACAGCTGATGGGAGTCTTGAAGTAGTATAATACTAAGCTAAGAGGGGGAAGCGTTAAAAAGTTTGTAATGGTATGTGTTCTGTTTCCTTAGGTTTCAGAGGGCGCCTGGGTGGCTCAGTGGGTTAAGCCTCTGCCTTTGGCTCAGGTCATGATCTCAGGGTCCTGGGATTGAGCCCCACATCGGGCTCTCTGCTCAGTGGGGAGCCTGCTTCTCTCTCTCTCTCTCTCTCTCTCTCTCTGCCTACCTCTCTCTGCCTACTTGTCTGTCTGTCAAATAAATAAATAAAATCTTAAAAAAAAAAAAGAACAGCTTCCAAACATTCTTTAATAATACCCCTAATTACACCAGTGTCCCACCCATCCCAAATCCCATCTGTCCTATGAAATTTCCTCTGGTTTATGGGTAATTCCTTCTTGAAATTCTAATAGGGATTAAATCCCACATTTTTTTTTTTTAGGTTTTATTATGAACATGTACAATGATCTAGACCTGACTACAACTTCAGAGATTTTTGGCACAAATTGAAATTTGGAAACAAAGGGAAAGATATATATATAGATATATATATCTATATATATATAAATTTTTTTTACATATTCTTTTTTTTAAATGAGCCTAAGAAACAAGTTAAGGAATATTTTACTGAGAATAAGCAATAAGCCAGGTCTCTCTTGGGGAGATATGCCTTACTTTGAGTTGACCTGAAGTTGGTATAGATGGGGAGATATTATAGGATAAAAGGGTAAAGCTCTAGGGGATTTGAAATGTCAAATATCACTTGCAGAATATGATAATAATGTCAATAATTGATGTGTTGAGCTCCATCAGTGTAATAGAAAATCTGCAGGCTGTCTTAAATTGTCATGATGTTGAAATGCAGGGAAAGAATCCTCTGACCTGGTGGAGGGTGGATATGTTTCTTCACAGTCCTATTATCCTACTTAAATATTTCTAAAAATACATTGTGCCACACTTATGGCCAATCTCTTTTCCTCTTGTTGAAAGAGATGGTAATGTTGTTAGCGCATTTAAGAAATTTAGTTCTTTAAGAGCTTGGATTCACAAATGAAACTATTGTCTGGGGCAAGAAAAACACATCAGTCAAAGAAAAACTTTAACCAAAAGACATGTTGCATAAATTCAGTTTCAAATCCTGATTATGTATGTCTGTTGTGGTTTAATTTTCATTGAGCTTGGACAGAATCCCTGGTGTTGAGGTAGAGGAACTAAGTCAAGACTAGGGTTTTACGAGCAGACTGGGTTCTATCTCCTTCCCTACTATCCGCGCTGTTCCTGATGTCAGGATCTGAAAGAGAATAATGAATTGGCGAATATCTAAGTTTCTACTATGTGCTGAGCAGGGTGCTTGGTGCTGTGGGATCAAAGATGAGGGCTCAGGTTATTTAGCTTCAAGTAACTAAGTAGGGGGAGGGGTGGCAAACTGGTAAGTTATACAGAAGAACCTCTCCAGGAAGGTCTCAGAGAGCTGAGTATGTAGAAAGCCATCTCTTAGTTCCAAATGGGAAAATGGAATTGTTTCAATGGACTTTCCACTTGAAAATCCTTTCCATGATTGAGTTTCCTCATTGGCAACAAAAGAGCAGAATGGATAAGGAAGTAAAGTGAGGTTCATAGTGCCATTAGCCACCAATTAAATTTCAGTGAATGCCCATTACTTGCAAAATGCTACCCTAGTACCTTTGAGAGCATACCCTGAAAGCATTAAAGGCAGGTTTCTTGTCTTTCTATCTATAAGTAGTTGGGAGAAGAAAATATTACATGGGGATGGGAATAAACTTTTTTCCAAAATAGATCCTATTTTAGCAATAGGATGTCATGGACAAGACAGAAAAAGGTACAGAAAGGGTGACAATAAGCCTTAGGGAAGGCAGGGGGTTTCTGATGACTCTCTGAGCTAGGTGGCGAGCTGTGGGGAGTCAGAGCCATGGTACTGCATTTATTAAAAGTAGTGTATTTAGTCCAGAGGGACCTCTGATTCCTATTTATTTCATCTGTTGAAATGTTTTCATAATGGCTACAATAGGTTTAATATATTAGATTTTTAAATAGATGGGCTATGTGTACCAATGCGGAATCCAATCTCATAGCTCATCAATGGCATGAGAGCACCCAGCAGGGAGGACCCTCTTCATCTAGGAGGAAGACACAAAAACCCCTTGTCTATTTGCAAATGATCCATCTCTGTCCTTTGAGATTCTTCTGTGATGGCTACATGTTTAATTCCCTCCCTTCTTTCCTCCTCCCCTCCTTCCCTTTGCTCTTTCATTCTTCCTCTTTGTTAAATCAAAGGAAGCAGATCTGTTAGCATTTAATTTTGCTTTACTAGGAAAACGTTAAATAAATGTCATTCCTTATGGTGCGTGTTGTCAACATTTATGCTGGGACCGATCTTAAAGTTCTAGCAGGGTTCCCTCACTCCCCAGTTCAGTATTAAAAAAAAAAAAAAAGTTATGACTTTCTCATTGGCCCTTAAAAGATCTTGGTCTTAATGCTCTTCATGATGTTAAAAGGGCTTTTAGCCCAGGCCCAGGTTATGACTCCCCAGAGGCTGGATTAGGCTTTTTTGCACTCCTCAGTACAAAGAGAAGGCGAGATTTAACAATGGTTATGTTTATTTGCTCAGTGGAGATGGCCAGCCCAGATAAATCAGGCTCCGTGGTAGCTTTCCAACCTAGCTCAGAAGATGTGTTTTACAGAAGCAAGACATTAAAAACTAATCTGAGAAGAGAGCCCAGGACCCAGAAACTTTTGACGGAAAACCAGAGAGGATCTTTTCTGATGTCCTGACACAGAGAAAGGGCTGTGGTATGTAGTAACGGAGACAGCCAAAAGGCCCCCTTAGTATCCCTCTGAAGGATTTGACATTTCCAACCATAAATATTGGCCAAAGCAACAGAAACCAGAATATAAGATCCTTTTAAAACAGACTCCAGAGCTAGAGAAATGTTACTTTCCTTGATGTCTCTCAGTTCGTATTACTGCCTCCTTTATAATGCTGGTGCTTTCCAAAGATCCTGGCCAGGAAAGGTGTTTTGCCATGGGATCAAGAGACTGGCCCTGGGATTCAGAGTACTGGGGACTTCTGTGACAGCCTGAAGTTGGCTGGAAAATATGGCAGCTTGGTCAAGCCATTCAATTCTAGTGTTGGTGTTGGTCTTTCATTTATAACATGAAGTGGGAGGTAGAGAGGCCCCTTCTGCCTAGGCAAGCCTCTCTCTCACTTAAAAAAAAAAAAAAATCATTGCCAGGACAAGGCCTTTTATATTCTGATTAAATAAATATATCCTGTAAGAGGCCCATTTTTCAGGCAACCTACAATAATAACCCCTGACATCAATGTTGTATTTTGATTTCAAATAAGTTTTTTGAAGAAAACAGTTTAAATCTCTGAAAATAAGTGAATACTCGAATCAGGTGACTTTTTTTTTTTTAAGAT